GGTGCCGCCAGCCAACAACACCACCGCGCCGCCCCATGACCAACGGCCACGCCGCCGCGTCGAGGGCCACCATGGCACGCGGCGTCGCCGCCGCCTTGCCACACCACCGCCGGCCGAAGGGCACCGCAGTCGGCCGAGCAGGGAGGTCCGCACGCGGGGAAGGACAGGCCCGTCGACGCCAGCAGCACCACGCAGGCCACGCCCAACGACGCCCGCCGGCGGGAGGAGGGAGGGGCGACGGGAGCGCTGCACGAGGAACGGGGAGAAGTCCCCGGTCGCCTCGCTCGAGGAGGCGACGCGGGGGAGGTGGCGGGTCGAGAGGGGGGAGGGAGCCGGGATGGGGGCACGGGCGACCGGCGGTCGGCGGCGACGGGAGGAAAGGGCGGTCGACGGCGGCGGGGGGAGGGCGGGGAGGAACCCTAGCCCAGGAGCGGCGGGGCAAGGCCTCGGTTGGGTTCGAGTATATGATTATTAGGAAGTATGTTTAGCGCCATTTAGCTCCTGTTTAGTGCCAATAATCTAGCTGATTTAGAGGCTGCAGCTATTTACCATAGCACCCTATTGTGCACTTTTGGTTGTTGTCGTCCCGATTAGTAAACTGATACCATTAAACCTTACCTTGCCGTAAGGGAGAGGACACCATCTAAAGTTATCCTGAATATTGGTGGAAATGCAGTTGCACTTTAACCTAAGAACAAACAAAGAAGAATAAAACTCTTGACCGAAAATATCATGAAGCATTATCAAATCAGGAATCTTCTTAAACATTGTCCAGCCATCTAAATTCCAGGTTGATAGAGATGTTAGGAATCAGCGTTCAAGCACTTGAGGAAAACGATGCGGAAGCATGGTTAGCAGCGTCGAGCACTCGAGCACGATGGTGCCGAAGTGGGGTGCACTCAAGGTCAAGGATGATGATACGGATGCAATGTCAACAGTATCGCTGGCCTCTTCAACTTTGCTTCTCTGCGGAGCTTCCATTGCTTCACCCAGCATCCCTGTCACCTTCCCACCTGATAATGACTCAAGCTGTTCAGCCAGCGGGTACAATTTCTCGCCTTGAATCTGCAACGTAAACAAAATATACAACCAAACAGAAAATCACCCTACATTGACATAAATGGCCAATTTACACACATGCATGGCAAGTAAAACTTGTAACTGTGAAATTAGCACGTCCTAATATAATTCGACTCTCCTTACAAGATGTCGTTGCTCCGGGTCAGAAGAATTTACAGCAGTGGTAGTGGTGTTCTTGCTTGGAATAGACGTAGCACAGAAAGTATCATCAGTTTGTGCGAAGCCCGGTGGAACCATCACAAAGTGCATTTACATTCATACCATTCGGCAAGTATGTGAGGCTTGGTTGGCACTTGGGTACACCATCTGCATAGTAAAAGCACGAAAGTCAGGTGAATTGACTACTTGTGACATAATTTGAACATGGGCATGGATGGATGCACTTTGCAATATCAGCTGATGCATTAAGGATTAAAAAAAGTAAAAAAATGGTCATCTCTCATCCCATAATACCTGTTGGTGTAGATTGATTTCTTGATGCATACCACGCCAAGCATGGTGCAGTGGACTCGGCATGTTATACGTATATGGCGTCATGCCGCTAGGAAACCCAAGGAGTGAAATGCTGTTGTGGGAACTAGGGGCTGGGGCCCGCCAATGGTGGGCCTCCTGAGAGCGTTCTTGTGGCGCACTTGCCTTGTTGAAGCACCTCATTGTACCCCATACAGCCATTTTCACACACACACACACACACATTTCTCTAGTAACATTGAACTAAGGGTTGTTAGCCTTACGTTTTCAAATGTCTAACAATGCGATAAAGCCAACGTTATATAAAGCAAGGCATATCTAACCTTACAAGAACCTCGATCAGGACAATAATATAAAAAGAAGCTATAATTGTAGCTATCCATCACATATTGTTTGCTTCAGAAGAACTGACAAAAAAACTGCAAACTTATATCCTTTCAAAGGGAATCGCAGAAAAAATCAAGAGCCTGCAAGGTGCTATTTGTTCATCCTACCAAGAACAGCAACATCAAGTTAATATAACATCCTTTTCTTTGAGAAGCAAACAAGAAATACCTACAATTTGTTCCACTGAAATGTTATAATCCACTCCACTGGCATGTGACATAAAAATTTCTGAGAAAATTGCAGGCTAGTTTCAGCGTGCCAATTTGCAGTATGTACTACAGCTGCCTGCTACTATCAGAGTATCACGCATCCATCCACCCCAAAAAAGGAGTAAACGCGGGAATTGACATTGAATGTGGATGAAGTGATCACCTTGAAGATGCGTGGCTTCAGGTGCTTGGAGCAGATCCATCAGGCGTGTGCCCCTCTACTCCTACGGCTTCATCAAGATGAAGAGGCTAGAAAGAAGGAGCGACAGAGGTCGTCCCCCTCTCCCTCTGCTGGCAGACCCAAACCATCAGCTAGAACACGGCTAGGGCGCGGGGAGGCCATGCCATCACGGATCAACAGCGAGAACGCAGGTCCTCACAAGTTGTAAGCGCCCCTGACCACCACGTCGGCATGGTTGAGAAGAGATGGATCTGGGCGGTGGTTTCCGGTGACGAGCGAAATAGAAGTTGCGTGTACCCATAGTAGCTGTGTCGGCAGCGGCCATCACAATGAAATATAATCATTGCGTGTCGTCGTGAGTTCTTGAAAGGTTTCACCTGGATTTTCCTGGACCAATGAAGCAAAAACATGCACAATTTCTCAAACAAGGTTAGATGAAGTATGTGAATCAGATGCAGTATTAATACAATAAAAAATAGCACTGTCATCAAAGGATTCACTTACAATCGAAAGAAGAAGCAGCAACATGATTTTGCTTGGCTCCGTCGGATCTGGACCAGATACCTGCACCATAAAAATACTCAGAAAATGATGGCATAAGAAGATTACCTAGCAATAGAAAAGCAAACTAAATGTAGACGAGTGTATCCTTATTGTTAAGATTCATTTAACAGGAATTTCCCGACCATCATTTAAATGAATTGCAAGAATTTTTTCGTGATATTTAATGTAGAAAGCTAACATTAAATTATATGGTGTGCCATGAACTTATTAAAATTTCCTTGATGTACCTGTATCATGGGATCCATGAGATTCATGGCCTAGTGATCACTAACCATGCCACCCATTGCCATTCTGTAACCTCTGAATGTAGTTTTTCTCCTCCTAGCATTGACATGGATATGAGCATGAGTCATATTGTTGAATTCTCTAAATGGTTCACACTTAACTTTCCAACACAAAACGAAGAAAAGATATATTTGTAAAATTGTCAAATAAACATGCTGGCCAAGGTTTCTATCAAATAAAAACAGAGCTATAAAAATTGTCGTAGTTAACAAAAAAAAGTCAGGGCTATTACAAAACGCAGGTGCCCAGATTCAGATCGCTACAGACATCACAAATCCAACACTACAGATAATACTACCATGGTAGCCAGGAATCATAGTTCATGTTTTGTTGAGTACATACATGATACTACCAGGTCAGAACCTACAGACACATGATCATTGATTTGTACTATTCAACCACACTGACAACAATCGTAACCCGAAAATTAAGTGGCTTGAAACTGGCAACCCAACCCATGAACAAAGCGGCATCGATCTGGAACGCAGGACAAACAGTGCCTTGCAGATGCAGTTTCAGCATAGATAAGCATAAGTAGCATATATTAAAAAATATTAAAAAAGGCTTGTGTTCAGTTGGACATGAATAGCCTCATGATTCCTGAGTCAGATGAACAAAACGAAATCAAACCAGCACAAGGATAGGAGATCCAAGATTGCCCAATTCTACAATCGGCATCACCACACTTGTAAACAAGATAACAGCTTTACTAATTCCAGCGCATCAATTTCTACATAAACAAAATTACCACAATGAAATCCACGTCACTGGAGTTAAATTACGCAAATCTGCATAACACTCACGGGTGGAGGACAGCCATCAGTCATAGTAGTATTGGAGATTGTGGCCGTACTGGTGTCACAGCTCGATATGTTCAGGTGGGAACCTTTGCCACTGCTCACCTCGATGCTGCTATCATGTATCTGGAGCTCGGGGGGAGAGGCGGCACTGCTGCTTCCCATCTGCATTGCATGATCCCGGCTGCCGAGGCACAACACCATCGACCCAACGCTGATGGCATGCTCGCAGCCACCTCCCCTCCTTTTATAGGGAGTCAAGTTGGGCGCAGACCCTACTCTCTTCTCCTTGGATTGCTTATCCGTGGGCGACGAGATCACCCTCCGAAGAGGAAATACACAAATGACGACCCTTGATAAGAATGGAATTTATCAAATCAAGCGAGTCAAGATGTAAACCTAATTATATGATCAAAATAGAACCATTAAACAGTAGGCGAGTCAACATGATTTTAACTGACCAAACTTCAAGTAGAACACAATTTATATAATTGTATAATTTAGTGATGAAAACTTGCAAACATACTTCCTATTTGTCTTCCTGGGAGATAATCAATCTTGTAAATATTCATCCTGCTGACATGACTTGTCATACTAATCAAACTATACTTAATTATCCTTGTCTACTCCATAACCTTAATGTGTTGATGTGAACTTGCTCGGCTCCTATAAAGAACAGCGTTGTAGCACCTAAACGTACAACAATTGCTATACACTCCTCAAGCAAACAACAAAGCTACTGCACTAATCAACAAGCCATGGCCATGAGTATGGCAACCGGCGCCATGGGCTCCCTGCTGCCCAAGCTGGTCGAGCTCCTCAAGGAGGAGTACAAGCTCAAGGAGAGCGTCAAGGAAGGCGTCCGATTTTTTCCCTGGAGAATAAAATTCACCTTTCAAAATATGCCTACATTAATACCTTTGATTTGATGATGTCCAGAAAGCAGAGTCTAAACAACTGCACTGGACCAGAATGCCATCTATTTTGCTGTTTTCTGTAAACTTCGTATGACTCCAGCAATTCACACTAACACTGAATGGAAATTCGTGTAGCACAGTTTGAATGATCAGTAAAGGTATGAATGCCATACAGAAAAGTCATCAACCATAACAGAAACTTCCATCCCTTTATATGTGCTCGAACAGCAATATCCATGTCTTCAACTGTTGTTCTCTCCATCCATATTCCAGAGTCCTCGAGTGCCTTAATTCTCCACACTCCTGCTGTTCCGTTGAACCCCCAAAAAATTGAGGAATGCTCCCTTAACCTGTTGTTCAACCTCAAAGTGGAAGCACAGATTTAAGCAAACAAACAAACAGAGCATAGATGTAATGTGATCAACAAAATTGCGATCATATGACAATTGTGATAAATCATCACATTTACGGTTCAAATCAACAAATTCCAAATCACTTGATATTGGCTACCAACACTCAGTTAACATGGCAGCAGCAAACTATGGCAGAGGAGAAATAATGGCCTCCAACATGTTCAGATCATGAAGAGAAAAGACTTTTTTTGCGGAAGAGAAGAGAAAGACTGCCTGAGCATGGCCCGAACAGAGAGAGGGAAGGGAAGGGCCTTACATAGAGAGCCATGGCCTGCACGCCCGCCATGGTGCTCCTCCGTCACACCCGCAGCCTGCAGAAAGCAACCGCACGGATCAAATCAAAAAATCCAGAAGAAGAAGATGAGGGGAGGGGAGGGGAGGGGAGGGGAGGGGAGGAGGATGGAGGGCCTCAGTACCTTTGATGTCTACGTGCTGCAACTCGTTGCCGGTGTCGATGGCCACCACATCAGCAAGCACCGAGAGAAGGCCGCTGCCGCCGTCGTCGTCGCCCCATCCCATCCATCCATGTGTGGGTGTTGGGCTAGGGTTTCATCCCCATCCATCCATTGGTCGGGCCGGACCACCATGGCCGACCTCGAGCAGACTAAAAAGCAAGTAGGTGGTGAATCCAAATTCAAGAATGGTGTATTATAGTGGTAGAGATATTGGTATACACAGAACACGACACTACAATGGTAAGTAGTAATTCTGTAGTTTTGATGCATAACAATCCGGTGATCCAAGTATATAGGCAGAGGTTCTATACATAACTTAAGAAATATATCATAGTGACATATAGTGTATTTTTTCAGTCACACAGGTAACTGAAAATACAGGAGTAGACAGATCTAATGAATAGCGTGCTATACAAAATAGCGTGACCTCTGAAAATATGCTATTAGCGAGAGATTGTACACTGATCAATTTAACTAGACAATTTTCTACACGCTATAGCACGCAAGTAAATTATGTCCAGGTACCATCTCGGCAAGCTGATTACCAAAACCAATATTTCTGAAGCACTGAAACTTGGAACTGAAGCTGATTACTGAATCAAATATCCTGGAGTTGGACCTGAAGCACTTTCGAAATGTGAGGATTGCTTAGTGTTTTTATCAACCAAGGACAAAGGAAGAGGTCAGGGGGGACCTGGATCCCGCTGCCGGTGGAGTCGACAGGGGTGGCACTATACAACTCCGAACAGGAAGCCGAGAACAGGCGAACTCCCGCTGCATTCCTGAGCATCCGACAACAACCTTGCACTCCCTGCAAATCTTTGCCACAGGTGGTGACCTGCAACAGTTGTCAAGTTCAACGTTTTGTACTACCATGCCTCATAGAAGAGAAAACTGAATCAAAGCAGCACATCGGCCTAAGGCATCAGCACGAACAAAAGTAATAACACATTAAAAAGTAAAAATAATTCTCAGAGAGAGCACAATTTCTATCTATAGAGAGAAAGGAAAAGAAGTGGGTAGACACTTGCATCTTCTGGCCAGCGGGGAAGAAGACCAACTCTACCACAACCTCATGGCAGAGCCGTGTGTCGTGGGGATCCCATGGAGGTGCACACAGAGTACGACGTACCAGTGACCTCCACCGTGTGACGTTACTGCCCCCATCCTCTACGCCCCCCCTACCCCCACCCCTTTGCTGTGGTGGGCGGCACAGCTCCGGCCGGCCGGCGTGGAGGGGCTGCTGGGCGGGCCGAGTCCACTCGGGAACGGACAGAGATGGGCGGAGCAGCTCCGGGCGACGGCGAAGAGGACTATCGATGGGCGCCGGAGTGGAGGTGGCTCTGGCCGGCTGTGCGCGCGGCGGCGGCTAGGAACCCTAGCGTCACGGTGGAGAGCGGGCTGTGAGGAAAAGAGGATGCGTTTTCGCCGATGCCATCGCTACTTTTTACAGGGGAGGTGCGGTACAGTAAAAGGAGACGTGGCTAGCGCGGTTACTCGACCTTGATGCGCACCTGAATGGTTTTAATTGCTGATATCCGAAGCCTGCAGGAACCTGTGGTGGGAACATGCCAGGCACTCCTGGGCCGACGTAGAACTGTCAGGGAGCAAAATTTGTGGTACTGCGGGTGCTAGAACTCCTGCCTTCTGAATACGAGCAAAGTGTGCCTAGAAACAATGTCAGTAGCATTAACCTTGTGCTGTGTCCCATGTATATATTCTTGAAATAGTTGCAGATCTAATGTTCAAATATTCAGTAACACACAGGTGACAAGAGAGAACTTGTTTTACTTAACTTTATTTATTTGGACGGTAAAAAAATAACCATTTTGTTAACACTCGTCCACATTGATTCTCAGTCTATGTTATTCTTAGGATGGGACAATATACAACTTATTTATAACTGAACGGATTTTCTTTTAGTTCATCAGCTATGTGTAGAAATGAAACAAATAATACGTAAATAATTGGACATGTAATAGACATGGACACATAGCAATATTAGAACTCAAACAACACTTATCAGCATATAAGATTAATTAAAAGAAGTCACTACTTATCACTTATCAGCAGAAGGCACCTAATGTACAAAATGATCACTTGGGAAAGACTTACCACTAGCATCGCTCGTCTTTCCTCTTTGCCTTGAGCTACACCAACATACAATGGCTTTTTGCCAACTATCTTCCTGTTCATCCCGTCAATCTACCACATTGATTAAAGATGATTTAATAATCTAAACTAGTCAACTGGATGCATTGGGCACGTTTGCATACAACTAAACAATGTTACTTACAGCCTTGTGGACAGCTTCAATAGTTGTAAATGACACAAAGCCATAACCCTTGCTCCGTCCTTGTGAATCAGCCATAACCTAAAAAAATGTTAAGAAGGTGAGCCATGATACTAAGAAACAGAATTAGCTAGTAAATAAAGAGAGAAGTACCTTGCATGATCCTATCTCACCAAAAAATTCAAATAACCCTCGAAGATTTAGATCATTAATACTATCATCTAGATTCTTCACGTATAGATTGAGTACTTGTTTATTTTCCGTTTTTTTTCTGCGTGTCTCTTTTATCTTTTCACAGATTTTGGGTATTCTTTGGGCCGTACGCAGTGTGCATATCATATATATAAAAAAAATTACACACATATATATACATTGTGTAATAAAGAATGTATGTGTGCGATGAACATTTTTATAGTACGGAAAAATTATACACGGACTCGTTAACGTAGCAGGCACATACCTTTTTATGCTATTACTATTGACATGTACTAGCCATTTTAACTGTTCCTTCTTTTTTATTTGTCTTTTTTTTAATTTCTTTTATCTATTCTCAGATTTAGGTATTTTTCGGGCCGTATGCAGTGCATATCGTATATTGAAAAATTATACACATTATGTACAGTGACCATAATTATATAATATACCACGTACTAAAATTATGGTCACTGCATACTATTCAAAAATTATAGTCACCGCGTATATATTGTATAATGATATAGTGTACAATATATGATGTGTATTTATAAAAATAACATACAATATGTATATTGTCAACATTTTTCAATATACTATACACACACAACATACGGCCAAAGAATACCCAAGACTAAAAATTATAAAAGAAATCCGAATAAAAAAAACACACCAAAAAAATGGAAGAGTCCAAAAGGCTAAGACATGTCTAAAGTGTATAAAAACATATATGTTATCTGTGTGAACATATATGTTTGTTTGTGTTTCCCTATTTACAAAAAGGTCACCGTATATTAAAAAGATGTGTATATTAAAATTTTGTTATTAAATGTTATACGATACTGAAAAAGGTTATACAATATTAAAAAAACGATCATCGCACTAGTAGAAAAAGGGGCAAATCTGAGACACATTAGTGCCGGTTTGATTTTGAGCCGGCACTAATGTGTCCATTAATGCCGGTCCAACGGCTAGCCGGCCGCTCACATTAGTACCGGTTCGTGGCGAACCTTTAGCACCGGATCGTGCCACGAACCGGTACTAAAGAGAGTGTGGCAGGATGTTGTCAGTCTCGGGCCCCTCCAGCACCTTTAGTACCGGTTCGTGGCACGAACCGGTACTAAAGGTCGACGTACATAAACCCTTCGTCCATCCGAGCTCGCTCTGTTCTTCCCCTTTCCCCTCAGTTCCTCTGTTCTTCCCCTCTTTTCCTCGAGCTCCTCACAAATTTTGCCCAAAATTTGTCAAGATTTGAAGGCCCCCATCCATTCAAATGATCACAAAGGTTAACAACTTTGTCCTTTCAACTCTCATTGCTAGATTAGCTCTTGCAATGCTTTGTATAGTGATTAATTTGGGAGGAATTATATGTGCTAATATTTGATTTATATGCAATTTGAGGTTAAAAATAACACTTAGTTTGCATATGTAGGTGTGGTTTACTTAGTGCCTTCTAAATCTCCGTCGTAACCACCGTCGGTCGCCCGCACCGTCCCGTCGCCGGCACCACCTTGTGGTGAGGCTCTTGTTCATCAATGTTTTACATTACCAAATTGATGTTTGTGTGATTTGGACATATAGTTACTCGTATAATTATCTTACCCGTATGTTGTTTGTTATACATAGTGCCATGGTTTCGATATCCGTCCCCATCGGCCCTCGTCCTTGTTATGATTCGGATGTGGTATATTCTCTTTTAAAACTAGTTGTTGCATTTCGTGTTTATGACAAATTATGCCCATCAAGTTGACATAGATATTTTTATCTAGGAGGTATGTGAACCAGAAATTCCCACCGACCCTATTGTCGAGAGGTTAAATTTAGTTGAAAGAGAAAACGAGTATTTGAAAGAAAAATTGAAAAGAATTGAGGGGGAGAAGATGGAATTGGAGTTGCATGTTGCCAATGTCGTCGATGATCACAAGATCAAGATGGAGAAAATGAGGTTGAAGATTAGAAATATTAGAAAATATGCCATTGATAGTGTGGCTTGGTATCATTATGCTGTTGGATCAATTGTTACCTTAGTTGGGATCTTGATCGCATTTGTTGTTGCATTTAAATTCTTTAGCTAGAGAGTTATTTGTATGTTGCATTTAATTAAGTGTTGTATATGAACTTTATGTATGAACTTGTATTAATTTGGTCTATTCGGTGTTGTGTAATGAAGATGAACCGACAATGGATGTATGATGACCGATGCTCTCCCGAGTTCATTAATGGCGTGCATACTTTTCTGCTTGCCGCTGAGGCAAACAAGCGGGCGGATGGTTTTATGCCTTGTCCATGTGCTGGCTGTAAGAATGGTCACAATTACTCTACGTCAAGAACCATTCACGTCCACCTATTTGAGTCCGGTTTCATGCCCCACTATAATGTTTGGACCAAGCACGGAGAAATAGGGGTTATGATGGAAGACAATAAAGAAGAAGAGGACGACGACGGCTATCCTGGCCATGGGTTCCCTGAATACGATGATACAACAACGGGGGAAGAAGCTGAGCCGGCAATGCGGGAAGAAGCTGAAGAAGAGGCATCAGATGAGCCCGCTGATGATCTAGGTCGGGCCATTGCCGATG